CCCCCCCCCATTGCAGCCACCAGCATCTCCGTCTCAACCCAGACCATAGAGGGAGACACACAGATCCTCGGGAGGGAGGGCTGACCGTCTAAAAATAGGAGGCCGGGGCTCCCAGGGGAGCGCAGCCTGAGCGTGTTTTTCTATTATTTATATAATTATAAATAGGGCCCTATTATGGAACTTGCAAGGGGCAGATAGAAACGTGTCCCTGGATGGGCTTCAAACTCTGCATTGTTGTCCGAGAAACAGACTCACCAGAGTAGCAGAAGAAGGTGGCAGGAACCCAAACTCTATTTTAGCTTTGCCACGGCTTTACATGGAGAGGGCAGTCGGGCAGGCCTTGCAGAGGAAAGAGACGGCGATAATCAGTATCGAGAGGGTCTGCTAGGGCCTCTTCTCAGACAAATGCACGGGCCCCGGGAGGGGGGTCCGGGTGGGGCGAGTTTAACTTCCTCAGTGTCTGTCACGTGGGGAGAGGCATCCTACGCCGTTAAGCAGCAGGACTGCATGGAAGGCAGGCCCCCGAAGATGTTCATGTCCCAATCCCCACAACCTGGGACTATGTTACGTCACGTGGGGGAGTTAAAGTTGCAAGGCAGCTGACCTTGAGGTGGGGAGGTCACCCTGGATTATCTGGTGGGCCCAATGTCATCCCAAGGATCCTTCTACGTGAAAGAGGAAGGCAGGAGGGTCAGAGTCAAGAGTGATGTCACAGGATGTGGCCATTGCTGGCTTTGAATTGCGGGGGAAGGGGCCACAAGCCAAGGGATGCGGGCAGCTACTAGAAGCTGGAAGATGCAAGGAAATGGGTTCTCCAGCAGGGACGCAGCCCTGCTGGCACCTTGATATTAGCCCAGGGAGACCCACTTCAGACATTCGACCCAAAACTGTGAGATAATATGTGTGTGTTGTTTAAACCACCAACTTTGTGGTCATTTGTTTCAGCAGCCCTAGGAGGCTAACACGGGCTGGGTTTGCACTTGTAAAACCCCAGTGCGGAGGAAAAGGCGTTGACCAGACTGTCTTCCTGGAGGGATGGTTCTCTAAGTTCTGTGTGCGTGCAAATCACACCCCACGACAAGAACAAGGGGCTGAGGGCTCAAGGGGAGCGACCCCAGAGTCAGAGCTCTTAGCTGCCACATGGGGGATTTTCAAGTGGTTTTGTGCCACCTGCCTGGCTCAGCTCAGCACCTCCCCAGCCAGGGGGTGAGGCTGGGGGTGGGCAAGGCCATGTCCCCCCTTTCCTTCCTCCCTTCACTCCTGGGATGGCTGCAGGTATGGGCGAGACCGCGGCTGAGTGCCTGGGAGGCAGGATGATAAATACATGTTGGGGCTGAGAGCTGGTGCAGTCGATAATTTGGGGCTTACCTGGCAGAGGAGGCAGCAGGCACCTGCCATTTGGGCCAGCTCGGGCAGACGGCTTGGGCACGGGCAGGCCCGGGGGCAGTGGAGGTAAGAGGCCGAGGTGGGGAGCCCTGCTGGCCCGGCCGTGCTGACTCAGCAGAGCTCAGGGCCTGCTCCTGCTGACGGTGCACTTTCCAGATATCCACTCTCAGCTGCCTCTGAAAGCTCTCCTGGGGGTGCTGCCTGGTAGAGGGGTCCACCACAGGGAGAGACCCAGAGGGGAAAAGCCCTCCCACGTTGCATCAGGTGGGAGCCAAGTTGGGGGGCTCAAGGAACGCTAAAGAGCCCCTCAGAACTGGCCAGCTCAACCCTCTCATTTCCCCCCAGGAGGAAGTTCAGAAGGTCAAAGTCATGCACCAAGGACAAGCCTGGCTGAGCTTGAGCTAGTATAGGTCCTGAGACTCAGAGCAGGTGGGGAACTG